GATTCTATCGTTTGGAAAAAAAAAAAAAGGCAAACATAGAAAAATCACAATTTTTGTATTAAATTAAAACTTTTAAAATTCTCAATTGAAACTTTTTTAAACTTCTAAAAAATCTACATGTATTCAATTGAGACTTTTAAAGATTTTTTATAAATCTATAAAAATCTCAGTGAATTCAATTGAAACTTTTTAAGAGTCTTAATAAGTCACCCGATGTTCAAAGTAGAAAGACTTTATAAGACTTTTTAAATTGAAAGACTTCTGGAGACTTTTTTAATAAAATCACAAATACAAAATCTCAATAGAAATCTCATCAAATTAGTAACTGGGATCATCACAGCTGTTGCTGCCAGTGCTCTCTATTCTCTCCTGCTGTCCGTAATGCAGCTGACGTTCGAAAAAGTCCTCAAGAAGGAGACTTTCGGGGTCGTTCTTGAAATGCAGATGTACACTGCAGTTGTGGCGACTTGTGTGGCAGTCGTGGGTCTTTTCGCGAGCGGGGAATGTGGGGCGGTACCGTAATTACTTGGTTTGTTGCGTTCACACTTGAAGAGTTGGTTAATTACGGTACCGCCCCTAGTGTGAACACTCGCAGTATATAAACAACCTCGTCCTGTTGCGTTCACACTTGAAGAGTTGGTTAATTACGGTACCGCCCCTAGTGTGAACACTCGCAGTATATAAACAAATCGAATTCAAGCAGGACGAGGTTGTTTATATACTGCGAGTGTTCAATTCAAGCAGGACGAGGTTGTTTATATACTGCGAGTGTTCACACTAGGGGCGGTACCGTAATTACTTGGTTTGTTGCGTTCACACTTAGGAGGAGTCTCGGGGGCGAAATGGGTAGTTATGCGGGCGGGAGGTTCTCGTACGTGATGACACTCGTTTGCACGGCAGTGTCGTGGCAGGTCTGCTCGGTGGGGGTCGTGGGCTTGATCTTCGTGGTCTCCTCACTTTTCTCGAATGTCATTAGTACTCTCTCGCTGGCCGTCACGCCGATAGCATCCTTGCTCGTTTTCCATGATAACATGAATGGCGTGAAGATTGTTGCCATGTTGATGGCGTTTTGGGGATTTGGGTCTTATATTTATCAGAATTATATTGACGATCTAGAGTTGAGGAAGAATATGAGGGGTGGTGATGATGTTCCTTAATCATTCTTTTGCTCTATACTTACTGTTAGATAATGTTGGATTTCATTG